TTTTTGCTTATGTGGTGCTGAGGAATCGAACCCAGGGCCTCAGGCATGCAAGGCAAGCGCTCTACCACTGAGCCACCTTCCCAGCCCCCCTAGATCTCTTTAAGGTATGGAAAGAGCTGATCTGTTTCCAGTCATCCTTCCGAAATTTCAAATCTGTGACCCGTGCGCTGGCCCCAGGGCTCGGCCTCAGGGCTTGACCCCAGCCCGGTGCAGGCCCGCTCTACAGCACAAGGCCGGCCCCCCACCGCTGGAGCCAGTTCCACTTCCGACTTCAGGGTGGTTAATTGGAGGTAAGTGTCTCATTCCTGCCCCGGGGCGTCTTCGAACTTTGATCCTCAGACCTCAGGTTCCCAGAGTAGCTGAGATTACAGGCGTGTGCCTCGGGTTCTACCGCCCGCCCCCCCCTGCTCCGCGCGACCCCGTAGGGCTCCCGAGGCCCCGGGAGCCTGGGCCCGCGGCCCGCCACATCCGGGGAAAGAGAGGAGGGACCCCACCCGCTCACCATGGAGATGCAGACCGTCCAGGCCCACCCTCCTCCTACCTACCCCGCAGGCAGAGCTACTGGGAGTCTGGGGAGAGGGTGGTGGGAAGCTTTCCAACTAGCCGGCGGTCAGAAGTGGATCTTCGAGGCGCCAACCGGCGCCCGGGCCGAGCCACCTCCGGCTCTCCAAGGCGTCGCCTCACGTGCTTCCCGCTACCAGGACCAGGGAGCATGCGCAACCCCAATCCCCGCCCTCTATAGGTAGGCTTACCAATCACCGCTCGAGAGTCTATGGAGATGAGCCAATCACCGAGAGAGCCTAGTGAGATAACTCGGAAGGCAAGCGCTTGCGGTGGTGAGGGGGCTCCGTCCTTCCTGCGGTCCTCGAGCGCGGCGTTCCCGACTCCGGGCCTTGGCTTCCAGGTAAGTTGTCAGCGCGCGGGTGGGGCCAGCGGGGCGGGGTGATGCTTGCTCCCTCCAGCAGTCCCGGCGTCCGGGGATGAGGCAGCCCTCGGCCTTGGCTTGGCAGGAAACGCATATGGAAAGGGCAGGCCCTGCCTAGGCCGGGAGCCCGGGACGGTGGGCCTGCGCCCCGGGCAAGCCTCGGGAAGGTGAGTCCGGGAGGGCCCCGCCAGGGCTGGGAACGGGGGTTCCGGGCCTGGGGTTGCAACCCACCACCCCCTGCATCTGCACCGACTTCAGTAAGCACCTGACGAGGTTGAGTGACCATGTCATCTCTGG